GGGAAAAAACAAGAAAGGAACTGACAAGATACAGAGCCAGAGAGAAGCTGAGCAGCTCTCAGGAAGCGGAGTGTGTCAAATACCACCAGCTGATGAGATGCCAGAAGTAACATTGGATTTGGCAACAAAGAGTCATTCCGAGCAGTAATCCGAATATTCTCCAGAGCAGAGACTGGAGGCTGAGGAGAGACAGTCCAGCAGGCTGGACACTGGGCAGGAAGTGACCCCAACAGGCCTTTCACCCCTGCTTTCAAGAAATCTAACTGCAAACCTAAAAGTGCATCATTCTAAAATATATTTATTTATCACTATACAAGCAATCTGGAGAAGAGAATGCCAAACCACTCCAGTATTCCTGCCTGGAGAATCCCCTCGACGGAGGAGCTTGGAGGGTTACAGTCCATGGGGTCGCAAAGAGTCAGATATGACTGAGCAAGTGAGCATACACACAGGCAACACATATTTACATTACTGTTGTCAANAGTGTTGACCATCTGGTGATGTCCATGTGTAGAGTCTTCTGTTGTGTTGTTGGAAGAGGGTGTTTGCTATGACCAGTGCGTTCTCTTGGCAAAACTCTACTAGCCTTTGCCCTGCTTCATTCTGTACTCCATTCTGAGAGGTCAGTAATCTATGAAAAGTCACACTTCGGATAAGTAGGCAAGCTGGTATTTACATCATATTTTAATTATCAGTTTGAAATAAGATCCAATTTCCCTTGCGATTTCTTCTTTGACTCATGGATTATTTAGAAGTGTGTTATTTGATTTCCCTGATGTCCTCCAAAACAAAGAGTGATGCATAGTTATAAGCCCTACATCTACATGAGTGAAAAACTGCCTGAAGGGATTCCTCCAGGAAAAACAGACAGGGCTTCTTCCAAAAACACATGTGTGCTCCTAGTGGTAGAAACTGCTGTTTGTTATTTTTTTAGGTACTCTGCTGTGCTTCCCTACTCTCTTGCCGTCATTTCGTACTTGTCCTTGCTTGTCTATTTAACATGATTGCAGATTGTATTGCTCCCTCACTCCTAGCACAGTGCCACCCACACACTGATAACTGCTTGCTGAACGAGATTTTTTAAATTTTCCCCAGAAAAATCCAATAAAGGGTCAGTCACCACGTAAGTCAGATGCATTTGAAGACTTAAATGATGGTGGGTTGAAAATCTACTTCACAGGTAAGGATGCATGTGGCTTTGCTCACAAGGAAGAAAGAGGAAGGACAAACATGCTCCAGTCTTGTAAGCAAATGTAAATGTGAACAGGACAAGTAGAGCTTAATGAGGAAGACAAAAGGCCCGGCAAAGAGACAGACATTCTGTTTCTTCCCTACTCTCTCCTTCCCCATGGAAAAGAACAAGAACAAACACAATAGAAAGGTTATAGAATTCTTAAAACATCTATTCCAGTAGCAATTAAATTGAAAATATTCAAGGGGAAATCAAAGCTAAGTGTCACCCCTCAGTGAGACTTAAAATACACACACACACACCACCCTTCAAAAATGGTAAAATAGCTAAACACCTAAATGCCCATCAATAAGAGAGTAATTGAACAAGTTTTATACATCTTTGTTGTGGGAATCTCTGCAGCTATTAGGGAGAATGAGATAAATGTATGTGTGTGCTGATATGGAAAGATGTACATGAGTACATCCAAGTGAAGAAAGCAAATTGCTGAATAATACAGCACAAACTTGTTTTGGGCTTCTCTGATTGGTACTGGTGATAAAGAACCTGCTTGCCAATGCAGGAGATGTAAGAGACTCCGGTTTGATTCCTGGGTCAGGGAGATCCCCTAATGAGGGCATGGTCACCCACTCCAGTGTTCTTGCCTGGAGAATCTCATGGACAGAGGAGCCTGGCGGGCTATAGTTCACACAGTTGCACATAGTTGAGATAAGTTGTCTCACAGTGATATGCTAGAGCTTATAAGAACCAATTTATATTTTCAGGAATTTAGCAAACTGGTTGTTGACAACATAAAACCAACCACAAGTGTATTTATATCAAAGAAATTGTTGTTGCTTAGTCGCTCAGTCATATCCAACTGTTTGCAACCCCATGGACTGTAGCCTGCCAGGCTCCTCTGTCCCTGAAATTCCCAGGCAAGAACACTGGAGTGGGTTGCCATTTCATCCTCCAGGGGATCTTCCCGACTCAGGGGCCAAGCCCACATCTCCTGCATCTCCTGCACTGGCACGTGGATTCTTTACCACTGAGCCACACAGAAGCCCTGAAAGATCTATAGATACCTATAATGCATAAGCACATACAATCTGGAATGATACACAACAAACTGTTAACTGTTGAACTACACATGCTGATTTTATTATTTTTGGTGGGAAACATGACTTTTTTTTTTAATTAATTTTATCGGAGTATAGTTGCTTCACAATGTTGTGTTACTACTATACAGCAAAGTGAGTCAGCCATACACAGACATCTAACCCTTTTAGACTTCCTTCCCATTCAGTCTGCACAGCGCTTTAATAGAGTTCCCTGGGCGGTGCAGTATATTCTCGTTAGTTATCTGTTATCTATCTTATACACAGGATCAGTGGCATATATGAGTCAATCCCAATCTCCCAATCCCTCCCCACCACCCCTTTTCCCCTTGGTGTCCCTGTGTCTCTATCTCTGCTTTGCAAATAAGATCATCTATACCATTTTTCTAGACTCCACATAAACGCATTAATATATAATATTTTTCTCTTTCTGACTTCACTCTATATAATACTCTCTAGGTCCATCCACATGACTTTGTTATTTTAAAAATGAAAAAGAAAACGGATGGACCTACAGAGTATCATAAAGTAAGAAAAAGACTAATATCATGATATCGCTTATACGTGAAACCTAAAAAAATGCAAATGCACTAATTTATAAAACAGAAGACCCACAGACAGAAAACAAACTACCATTACCAAAAGGAGAAACAGGGTGGGGCAGGGAAGGGATAAATCAGGAGTTTGGGAGTAACATACACACATACACTGCTGTATGCAAAACAGAAAACCGACAAGGACCTACTGCGTAGCACAGGGCACTATACGCAGCATTTTTGTAATAACCTTTAAGGGGAAAGAACTGGAAAAAGAATATATACATTCTGAACCCCTGTGCCGTATACCTAATATGACATTGTAAATCAATTATACTTCAATAAAAAATAAATAAATTTAAATGCCATTAATTTCACAAGAAAGTGAATGCTACCATGGCTGTAGATAAAATCCATCTAAAAACCCAGGGTTAGCATGTTCTGATGACCGTGCCCAATATTTTGAGAAGGGCTAAAATAATTTAATCTGTGATACTTTAAGAGCTCCTCCAGTTCAGAGTTTCTCATGATGTACTCTGCATATAAGTTTAATAAGCAGGGTGACAATATAGAGCCTTGACGGACTCCTTTTTCCTATTTGGAACCAGTCTGTTGTTCCATGTCCAGTTCTAACTGTTGCTTCCTGACCTGCATACAGGTTTCTCAAGAGGCAGGTCAGGTGGTCTGGTATTCCCATCTCTTTCAGAATTTTCCACAGTTTATTGTGATCCACACAGTGAGAGCCTTTGGCATAGTCAATAAAGCAGAAATAGATGTTTTTCTGGAACTCTCTTGCTTTTTCGATGATCCAG